TTAAAAAATAAAGTGAGGGTTTGGGGGGGGCATAGGTTGGAAGGGACCATAGAATGGTTTGAGTTAAAAGGGACCATAATGATCATCTAGCTCCAACCCCCCAGCATGGGATGAGTTTGCTTAGAGCCTCCCCCAGCCTGGCCTAACATCGCGGTGTGGAGCGGTGGAGCGGCACCCGTGAGAATGCGCCAGTGGGCGCAGGGAGCGCTGGTGCCGCGACCTTCCAGAGAAGCGTCTTTAGAACAACATCCTGGTGGTAACAGGACATTCCCACCCTCGGGAGAAGAGGAATTTCAGCTCTTTTGTGAGATCCCCGCTTCAGGCGATGGTGGAGGAAGGGATGGGAGCCATGTGTGGTGATCCAAGGTGGAGTTCATTCTTTCTCGAAGGGTCCAGGGACAAAAATGGCTCTCCGGGGCTGAGGGAGCAGGGTTGATATAGGATAGCTAGGGGATGGGGTAGAGCAGCTAACGAATCATCTGAGGGCACAGGGGCGGTACAAAGGGGGAAGGACCAATAGGTTACAGACAGTTTATATTAAACAGGGAGGCATGCCAGGGGAAACCTTATTATAACCATTATGAGAAGGGAGTGCATAAGGGCATTCCCTTCATGGGAGAGAGGAAGACTGTTTCTCTGCCGGGTTTTCAGCCTCCACAGCCTAATACTGTCCTTCTCATCCAACCCATTTGATAAGCCTGACCAAAAAGGATAAACACTGTGAAGCAGAAGCTACTGATTAAAAACTGAAGAATTCTTCTAGAACATTACTTTTCCTAGTCTCTTGTTAGAGAACAGTAGCAGGACATTTTTTTATTTAAGTAACTGACAAAATTTTAATATTTCTAGGAATTCTAGAACACTTTTATTACTCAAAAGCCTTACTCTTCTGTGCTTGGACTTTTCACCACACTCTTGACAACTCCCACCCTTCCCAAATGTTTTCTGATCAGAGCAGATCCCTCCTAGGGAAGCCAGAGGAGCTGTTTCCACCCCAGTCATTCCTAAACTGAGCCCAGTAAGCTGAGATGAATTCTTGTCCTCTTGGTACTAAGTTCAGTCAGCCCTTCAGTGTTGTTCAATATAATTTTGAAAAAAGAGGTTTTTTAAGAAAGCAAAAGCAACCAAAAGAACTAATGAGCTACAGTGCAACAAAACAGTCTACTGGTGTCTACATAGCACTTATCAACAGAAGACAAGATAAAAGCTTTTCACTTCTCTTACCAGTTTCCTTTCATAGTTTTCATGAACATTTTAAAGGACTGTTAATTTCTCTCGAGTCAGATGAAAAAACCTGCAATTGCTAACACAACATAAAAAGCCTAACAGCAGTAGTTGCCATTAAAAAGCTTTTATTATTTGCTTTTGCTGCTACCACATAATGAGACAAAATGTGTCACCAGATATGCACACCTTACATAGGAAAGAACTCCCTGAATAAATAACCTGTTAATGAGCAACAGCCCAGATTTGGGTCTCACTCTCACCATCAACAAGGCTTTGTGAATGCATCATGTGGGAGGACTTGATAAAAGTCAATACTGCTATAAGAGATCATTTTCTGAATCTCCTTAGAAAAGCTTTCTTCTGTTAAAGCCTAGACTTTTAGAAGTACAAGATTCCAAAAGTATAGCAAAACCTTTGTTAGCTTGTTTTTAACAGAACTCTACTCTGCGACTATGGTAATAAAACCAAACTGATCAGTCATAACAGCCAGAAGCAGCATTTCAATAAAAAAATATAAGACTTCCAGAAAACATACATAACAATGGCTAAATATAGGTGTTAAAAAAATAATTTATATTTTTAAAATGTATATTAAAAAAAACTATCCTTGCTTTGTCCAGTGACTTTTACTGCTCTGTGAAAGTGACCACTCAACTGGCTGAATTGTTTTCATATACCAGGAATGCTGAAAAATCAGTTACTGATCAAGAAAATGTGTATATTCATATACATCAGTAAAAAAAATGAAGCATTTTTACACTTCATATATATTTTCCTTAATTTGTATTCTATCCTGTACATTATCAGAGTCTGACTAGATTATGGACATCAGTTTCACCATGAATAATCTTGATAGTTTTCGCCTTGCTCATATTTCTAACAAGGTGGTTCCTTAGGGAACCAGCTGAGGGAGACTAACATCATAGTTCCATTTTCCATTAAAATTCTACCTCAGTCAGCCTATAAATACTAGATTCCATATTCATCAGGAACTTTTAAATGAGTGATTCTTCACTGGAGCTACACTTTCTGTTGTCTGCATCCCAAATATAGAAACAAACATTTATATTCCCGTATTTACGTTACAGTAGCTGCATAAAAAGGAATTTTAAATCTGTCTGTAACCCACGAGTTACTACTGTTCTTTAATCCTATTGCTGAGAACAGAAAAGAAAGGACACACTTCATTAGAAAGGAGATTTTGTTTGTTTCTTTGGACAGCAAAACTAGGTGTTTAAAGTGCTGGAAGTGGTCTCGATGACAAATTAGAAAGCTCAAAGCAGGAACAAAAGCCTAGGAGGCATCTTAAATTCTATTCAATAAATAGCACTGCTTTGTGCAACACAGGTCTCACTACTGTGAATATGAGGTATGTGTTGATATTATTTGAATACCTAGGACTGCAAAGAAATCCTTTTAAAAAAACAACTGTGCAATGGAAATATAAAACAAATGGCTCTGCTCACAATGTTTTATTTAAAAAACAATCCTGAATTCCTGCTCATCTTTCCACTGTACATATATGATTGCATGGATGAAGTTTCCTAATGGCAGCTTAATTCAACTCTTAAAGCTACACAAGCTCAAGTCCAACTCCATATTCACATTTTACAGGACAAAGTAAAACAATATTTAAGTTTAAGGTAGAGCAAGCCAGAAAAGACAGGCCACCTCAGGCTCTAAGATATGAATCCAGATGAAAAACATAATTAAATTAATACACACATAAAAGACAAAGTTACTAACAAGGCAGCAATAAATTTAGAAAAATAGCCCATTCCATTTGCTTGATGCTATTATGCTAAGCTTATTCCATTAAGCAAAAATTCAGTTTGTTCATTTGTTTTTAAATGTGAAGCATGCCCAGTTTTCTAAATAAAGCTACTGCAATCAGATGTGGGAAACCAATAGTTGATTTCAGTACTTTGAGAGCACCACACTTCCCCTCTTCCCCAGCTATCTCCAGCAACACCAGCCTGTTTTATATCCATCAGTCCAACAATCACAGCTCAGACAGTGAAAATAGGCTCCCTTACATTAAATCATAGATGTATTTCACTCTGATTTTTCATAAGGATAAGTCTTTTGCAAGCAAAGACAAGTTTGATATGACTGAATTCCATGTCAACTACACATGAACCCATTTTCAACTGGGAGCCCTATTGCACCATTTAGCTTCTTCTCTCCCAAGCTTGTAAGATCTCCAGATTTAACACACCTCCTCAGCCTTCAATAAGGAGCAGATTTTCATCTGCTGATGTTGAAACACGAGCAGGGTTAGCCTGCCTTTGTGAAAAGCTAATAAAGCCTTATTAACTGAGCTTTGTCCCAAAACCCATCCAAAATCTGGAGGTCTTGCTACCAAATGGATATTTCAAAGCAGTAACCACAAACCTGCTCTCCAAGAGTTCATGACAAATCAGCAAGGTGCTTGACAACTGGCCACCAAATAGATTGCAAGTAGCAGGGGTTTTTTAATTGTTCCAAGCCTCTAATGCAGGATCTAGTTTGATGCATTAAGACAAAATGAAATTAGTCAAATCGCATTAATTTAAAATTAGATATTTTAGATAAAAATCAAAATGGAGAATTCATACCAAGCCTTTATTGCCAAGGCAACTGCTCAAAACATTTAATATTATTTTATTCTAGAAGTGAAATCACATCACAACCATATGGGTATTATTTTTTAGGTTTATTGTAATGTTGGCAGCAGGAATTACTCCTATTTGTTCAGTCATTGAAATAATTTCTATTGCCTTTTTGAACCTGTGAAAAAACCTCATTTTATTTGCTCTAATAACTCTCAAAGTGTCAGATTCAGTAACAACTCAATTTTCCACTCTGCAGAAATTACCCCCAAACTCCTGGTTTTAGGCCTTTAAGAATCAAAAAGACAGATAAGGCTTTTAAAGAATGTTTCCAAATTATTTTATAACATTCTCTTATCTCTCTTTTGACCCTGAGACCACCTTCCTTGTTTAGAGCCCAGTGCTAGTGATGCCAAGTTTGTGGGTTCAATCTCCATACGGGCCATTCACTTAGGAGTTGGATTTGATGATCATTGTGAGGTCCCTTCCAAATCAGAATATTCTGTGATTCCAGTTAAAAATGTATGAAATATAACAAATTACTGTCCTACACCAAAATATCTGGAGTACACACATTCACTCGCACTTGGTAGTCATGTCTGCTGCACTCATACAAGAAGTAGAAGCTTATGAGTAAGAACAGACACATTTGTTCTCAGGAACTCATCTCTGAACTGTGTTACCTCGCTGTCATATTGGACATGGAAGAACTGGCCTGGTATTTTACCTAAAATGAGTTAACAGATTATTAAAATCAATCACCCATATAAAAATCCACATATTCATATATCCATAGAACTTTTCTCCTCCTTTACCTGCCTCAAGAAAAAATAAATAAGCAAACAAAAAAAAAATCTCAAGAAAAACATATCTATGCCCATTCTATTTGTTACTCAAGTCATTTGGAAAAAGAATCTCCACAGTGCCTGAAAAAGAGAGATCCCATTATTTTAATTATCTTCATTTAGAGAAAAATAGAATAGTGCAATATCCAAGATGTGTGTATGGTACAACTGCACAGCAGTACCTGCTTCTGTAACATCCACTTCCTCCAACTGTTACTTTTACACCTTTATTTGTCTTTTACAGGATGATAAATGCTTTTTAAGCAGAAGCCAGGATTTCCAAAAGCCTGAATTCTTAAAGACTCACCAAAATAAATAAGAAGGTAATCCCACTTACCTTAGATATTTCTGGCTCCACTTGTCTCTTGGGTGTGTCTTTTGACTCAGGCCCTTTTGGAGCACCAGCGCTCTTAACCGTGGGTGAATCAACTCCTTCGCCTTCAAGCTGCAGATTAATACCTTCTGTGGGGACAGGGTGATCAATACCATTTGGATTCAGATTGCAATGGATAGCTGGGAAAAAAAAAAATGAGAAACACTGCTTTAGGAAAGAACCCAATGGTTCAAATGTTTAGCACGAACTACTGAGAAGTGCCATGTGGTAACCAGAGCTATGTCAGACCAAAGCAAATGAACCATCTGCACCTTGATGTGGATAAAGGGTGAGATATTTGAGAAACAAAACGAGAGGAATGCAGCACTGTATAAATTTATTTAGTGCAGGCTACCATATGGAACTGTGCTCTGCAGGATTCACTGGAGGGAGCATCCAAGACTCTCAACTTGAAGCTTTTATTAAATGTTCATCATCCAACCATACCTTTTTTTCCTTTCTAGGCAAACAGGTTGAAGGTTTTCTATTACATTTGCAAGTCCTACAACATTCTAGGTCTTAAAGAATGTGGGATAAGTAAGCATTGCACAAAAAAAATCCACAAGTTAGTCTCTGCACAGAGTAATGACTTATCCAGCTGATTATCTCTCCTTCAGTCCTTTGTACCACTGCAAGTTACCATCTACACCTTCCTAACAAGCAAGAGAGATGTACTCTCTAGGAGTATATAATGAGGTAGGGACTAATGACAGCAGAATAAGGAAAGCATCCAGAGAAAAAAATAAAACAAATGCAAACCATACAACAGAAATGCCCGTTTAGAACTATGGCAGTAGCTTGTTTTCTGCCCAAATTTTCAGTTTCAGCACTCACACAGATAGTAGTGATTTTAAAAATGTGTGGATCCTGGGGCAACTTCCTCTTTATATGACTTGACTTTTGCCTTTATGTTCCTACATAACTGGGCTACTTTTAGTGCTGCTTGTAATTAATGGTCCCAACTTCCCCTGTGTACAAAAGAGCTTTGCTCAGATACTGTGGTGCAATGTTTGACAGATCTAAATAGAAACCTAAACTACAATGTACAGCCAAAATAAAAGCTTCCCTTTTACTCTTGCTTGGCTTAGAAGCAAAGGGTGGGGAGCTGGGGAAGGAATCAGAACTACCAGTTTCTACCAGCTACAGATCAGCCCTTGAAAGCCTCTCAGGAAAAACTAGCCCAAGCTGCCAGTGAAAGCAAAGGGGTCTTTAACCATAGCCTGTTTTGAAAATCTACTCAGCTTAAATCCTAGAGTCTTAATTAAAAACTTTGAGCCTAAGTTACAGCAATTCCTTGGTACAGAATTAAAGCAGAGACCAAAATGTTGACCATTTTCCCTTGGGATCTTTAAAAACATCCAAATATTTCTAAAAGATAAGTGATATCTGCAACCACTACAATACCTACATCTGCAAGCTAAGTTCTCCTATGGGAACTTAGAAAGAAATTTGATTCCATGGTTTATATTTATTTACATCAGTGTGCCTCAAGACACCAAAAGAACCCTCTCTCCTAGATTATATCCACCTACTATTTTCTAGCTCCTCTAGATCATATTTACCTACCCAAAAGAAACAACTTCTTTGCTTGTCCTCCAGACCACAGAAAGAGAGATGTGATCCACCAAGACTGACTATTTTCACAACACAGTGAGAATAAAAACTGTTCTGTTAGTAACCTAATTAATTCCCCCCATACAAAAAATGTAAATGTATCTTAATCAACCTGTAAAAGTAATCCCAGCACATCCTGCTCCAGCAAGGGCTGATCAGCATGAAAAGACATTTGGTACTGAATGTGATCCATGAAAATACCACCCACTGTCTTCTGCAAGGATCTTGCCTAGCTGCATAGAAAGACTCCTAGAGACACTTTTGAAACCCTAACACACTACAGCAACATTCAGAAACAGGCAGTTTTCAGCTGTCAGCCCAGTTCCAGTGCTCACCAAAGAGAAATTACATAGCACAGTGGGACTTAAAACTGCCTGGAAAGACACTGCCAACAGTAAGTTACCTGTGAATTGCAACTTCTCCCTTCCCAGTGCCCCCAAACAGTAGAGATTAGAGAGAAGGGTGGCATGGGATAAACAAGGAGACCCTTCTGGGTTATGGCACAAATTTACCATGCATTAGAGGGAGCAAATGATACAGGTTTTGATAACACGGCAGAATGATGACTAACCTTATCTCCTATGTATAATCACATGACACACTTGGTGGATGAGGGAAAAGGCTGTGGATGTTGTCTACGTGGACTTTAGTAAAGCCTTCGATACTGTCTCCCACTGTTCTCCATTTCTCCTAGAGAAATGGCTTTTCATGGCTTGGATTGATGTACTGGGTAAAAACCTGGCTGAGTGGCCAGGCCCAGAGAGTGGTGGTGAATGGAGTTATATCAAGCTGCTGACTGGTCACAAGTGGTGCTCCCCGGGGACAGTTCCATTTAATATGTATCAAGTCATATCAATATCTATCAAGTCTGGATGAGGGGATCAAGAGTACCCTCAGAAAGACTGAAGATGACCAAATTGGTTGTGAGTGTTGATCTGCTGGAAGGTAGGAGGGCTCTACAGAGGAATCTTGATAGTCTGGAGTCATGGCCGAAGGCCAGTGGTGTGAAGTTCAACAAGGCCAAGTGCTGGGTCCTGCACTTGGGTCACAACAACCCCATGCAGTCCTACAGGCTGGGGAACAGTGGCTGGAAAGCTGCCCTTGGAAAAGGACCTGGGGGTGCTGGTCAACAGTGACTGAACATGAGCCAGCTGTGCCCAGGTGGCCAAGAAGGCCAATGGGCATCCTGGCCTGAATCAGAAACCAGCAGTGGCCAGCAGGACCAGGGCAGGGATTGTCCCCCTGTACTCAGCACTGGTGAGGCCACACCTCAAATCCTGTGTCCAGTTCTGGGCCCCTCACTACAAGAAGGACATTGAGGGGCTGGAGCACATCCAGAGAAGGGCAACAGAGCTGGGGAAGGGTCTGGAGCACAACTCAGGTGAGGAGCAGCAGAGGGAGCTGGGGATGTTTAGCCTGGAGAAAAGGAGGCTCAGGGAAGACCTTATCACTCTCTACAACTCTCTGAAAGGAGGCTGGAGCCAGGTGGGGCTTGGTCTCTTTCCCCAGGTAACAAGAGGTTGTCCTGAAGTAGGTAAAGTCCAAGAGATAAAGTCCTCAAGTTGTGCTAGGGGAAGTTTAGATTGGATATTAGGAAAAATTTCTTCATAGAAAGGGTTGTCAGGCATTATAACAGGCTGCCCAGGGAAGTAGGGGAGTCACTATCCCTGAAAGTGTTTAAAAGTATATCCCTGAAAGTATTTAAAAATACATGTAGACTGTAGACATGGCACTTGAGAACATGGTTTAGTGGTGGACTTGTCAGTGCTGGGTTAAGGGTAGGACTTGATTTTAAAGTTCTTTTCCAACTTCAATGGTTTTATAAATCTATAAGCACTTGGATAGCTTAAAAATGAAGTAAGTCACTTGGCAAGATGCTGCTTGACTCTTAGCCCATCATGCATTCAAGAGTAATGAATGCTAGTGCTTTTCCAGCAATGCCTTTTACTGGGCTCCTTCAGGATACAAAAGAGAAAAAATGGAACAGGTCGCTAGCAATTACACAGATACCCATTGCCTTTTAGTTGAAAACTGGTGAGTGGTTAAAAGAAACACAGGCTGTCTTAGGGAACTTTTCCATAGTTGCTAATATTGAAGGGGAAAGGGGGTGAAGTGGGTAGAGAGAACTTTTTTATTTTCTAGGGGTATTAATCTCCTAAGGAGAATAAGTATTTTAGTCACTTGGCAAAGCTTATCTTTCTTTCTCATGACACATCTTTAGGTAGCCAGCTCTATTATTTTCTTCTAGTGCTACCTCCAACCCTCAGCTACACAGAGAATAGGAACAAGGAGTATTTCCTTGCATGGGTCTGTTATTTCCTGTTACCACACAGAATACACAGATCTATCTTTGTGGCAGAATAGTGGTGGAGCTCTTGCCTCCTTTGAAATGTCAATACAAACCAAAATGGTTCCCTTTCAAGATGGTTCCCTTTCAAGATTTGTTAAAGGCAGTGAAAGAGGTCAATGTTTGGTCAATAATTGATTATCTTCTTAAATCGACATATTATATAATTTTAGCTAGATAAGGTCAGCTCTAAACCCAGGATCAACTATCAAACCTAATGGAGCTTGGTGGGCTGATAGCAACCAAGGCAAACATCCCATAGAACTGAGTCTAAACAGCTCTTATCAAATAATCACAAATCACTAACTTCATCACATCCCAAACACTCTGACACTCTTTGCTGACACATTCTTAAATTAGACAAAGTAGTTTCTGGCTAAAATGTTGTTCAGACCATTACTCCTCCTTACCCTAGTACTGGTTAACACTAGCTCATCCTGCTCAGTGCATTCAGACCATTTTCCCACACTACTCCTTTGACAATATCCCTACTGCCTCAGCACCTCTTCATTCTACCAAACTGCGTCCACCAGTCATCAGTCCCAAATTTTAACAGTTCAAGTCAACAAACACCCTCCAAATCAGCTCACAGTATCAGCCTAATACCACTATTAGCAGGATCATTCAATTTTGAAACAGAAACTCTTCCAATATTCTTCCATACAATCTCAATATTCTTACATCATCCACATCTCAGTAATACAACCCTTCATCCAGATTCAGATCACTTACAGTTTCCTTTCCCTCCTGAAAAACCAACCTCAGTTGATTAATCTCTCTTCATGCTCCCCCAACAATTGTTGTTCAACTTGTATTGAAAGCTTACAGTGGTGGGAACTTGTTTCCTTTTGAGGAAGGAGGGTGGATGCTCTGTAGACTCTGACTGCACAGCAACAAGCACATAATGAATGGTGCTGGCTGACACAATAACATAGATCCACAGATTACATTTATGAAATAAACTATTATTTAAAACAAAGGCACTTAAGTGCTCTTGTATTCCTAATCTAGTGGCAGAGCTGAATCTAATGAAAAATATCCACTTTTCCAGAACCTAAAAAGTCTGCTGAGAAAACTCTGAAAAACTCTGCCAAGTTATGAGAGTGAAAAGCTTTATGAGAAAAATAGTAAGCGGAGCATCCAAAATGGAAAAATGACCCCCTATCTGTCCTAAAAAAC